CCTGCTGTGGTGAGGATGTGACTCAACAACTCTGACTAGTGACAACTTTGGTTGTCCATGCCATACCACACTTCTTGACAGGATCTAACCTCTAAGACCGACATTATGTGAAATAGCGACTTCTAAAACATTCCTCAGCCAGTGAGGCACATCTTATATCCATAGTTCTTTCTCCTCAAACATCTCTACTCACGTATCAGCCCTGCAGTGCTCCCTCCCTGAAATTACATCACCTTGCTCAGGTGGCAGGTTTAAGCAGAAGACTGTAACATAACAGGCCTGGATATTCTATGGAATAGCTGCTATTTAATGTTTTTTTTTTCAAGAAATTTTTTTTCTCCAAATAAATCATTTTTGTTTCAAATAAAGCAAACTGCCTGTCAGTGCTTAGTGTATTTTGTAACACTAGCATTTATAAGAAGAGGATGAAAAAAATTATAACAGGTTTTTTACAATCTGCATTACAGCTTTGATTTTATTTCGAAGTGTCAGACTCTGTGTCACTGGAAGCAGACATTCCCCCAGTGGCATTTCCACGCTGCCGACGCAACAGACGCTCAACTACCCAGGTTCTCTCAGCAGAACTCCATCAAGACAAGAAAAGAGTTTTTATCTTTTTTATGAAAGTTATGGTAAAACTTCACACATGAGGCCTTTAAATGAGCAGCTACATAATTGTTTAACAGGAGTCTTACTCCAAACTGGCAGTTTGCAGGATTTGGGTTTGGTTTGATTACATACTGCAACCTAAGCACTCTGCTCATGCCAGACCAAGACACAGCTTGCCAGCAGGACCTGTCACCTCCAGGCTTTGTAGGGCCCTTGGTGGTTAAAGCCCAGGGCCAGTGAGAAAGCAGCACAGTTCTGCTCCACCATCCATCACGCCTCTGCTGGGTGCTCAGCGTCCTCTGACCAATCACCTAACACACTGCTCCACTAGCCATCGGCATGGCCCATCTGCCAGCCTGCAGTCTTAACTGACTTGACTGATCTTTATTCATCTGAGGAAGATGATGATGACGACAATGCAAATGTCACCGAGGCAGGCAACACTGTTCACACTGGAAGATTTACATGGGGGTCTCCATACTATTTGTGAAGTGGCAGAGATCTTCTGAATGGTGATCTGCTCTGAAAAGCTGGTGTCCAGGGAGCTGCCCTCTCTGCCAACTGACAATTTTGCTTCTCCTCATATTCACACAACATATTCACTGTTTTCAAATGTGTGTGTTTCTTAAATCTCTGCAGTATCACAAAATTTCTTGTATGAAAATTGCTTTGCTATCCACCAAATCACTATCACACCCCTCAAAAATCTGTTCTTCACAGATAATGTGATCCTTCTTTTTTACAGATTAGCTAGTTGAGAGATAGGCAGGCATACCATGCATTGCCTAAATTCAGCAGCAGATCTAGGAGAGGGAGTATCCAGAAATGCTTCTAGCTCCCTCTTCCATGGTCTTAACAATACAGAATATGACATGAACATTTGGTAACACAAGTTTAGAAGACAACTTTTGTAGGCAAGTATCCCAACACAATGGTGATTTATGAAAACAGTGCAAACTAGCTGTAGAAGACTTGGATGTAAAGGAGAAATCTGGGAAGGACAAATAAGCTAAAAAAGATTTCAGATCTTATTCTGCAAGTAGGACCACACAGCAAAACCAACACAGAGTCTCAGTGACTTTGACAGTGCCCATCCTGGAACAACATGCACTTCCAACCAAAGCAGCAACACATTCATCTCCTGTTACTCTCTTCTGTAACTCATGCATCCTTGCATTTAGCCAAGTGATTTCCATTAAGTTTTACAGTGGTTTAGAATAAGCCTCTGAAGTCTCTGAAATCCGTGAGAACTTCCTGAGCTTCAAGAAACTTGTTCAAATAGCTCAGAAATTGCCTCTGGACAAGGACACCAAGTACTGGCATGCAAAATCTGATTTTCTTAACTACTGTGTATTTTTAAAATAAGGCAGTGCATATAAAGACAAACATTAGCTGAAGTCTTGCATAACTTATACTGCAATACCCTCTTGTGGTCAAAATAAAATGTTTTGTCTAAACACCTGAACTTTTTCCTCCACAAAAAGCCTCTCCAGACATGTTTTCCTTTGACAGGGGGAAATAATTAACATATTTTTCACAGATGAGTTTGTAGTGCGTATCATCACTTGTCTGGCAGAACCGAAAGATGAACCTCAGTCAAGTTCTTCCTCAGAATGATGGGCACCAACACTGCTTGTCAGATAAACTAATCCCAAAATGAACTCCTAGGCAAAGGCACCATTTCCTAGAGCGACACTCATAACCTTTTTCAAGTTTCATGTCCCCACCCAGAAAAAATAAGATGCTATAATCAATTTACATAGAAACAAGTAGCACGAAGCCACAGTAAACATCAACCTATTCTACTTTAGAATGACAAGAAGTACACAGTAAATCAGTTGTACCAATCCAAATTAGCTCCTTGCTTAAATGCCCCAGGTTGTAATAATGAACAAATAAAATGCTACACTGGCAGATGGTAATATGAAGAGAAACAGTTCAGTCCCTGCAGCAGTTCTGCTGAGCTGCTAATCTAGTAAATGGCCTAAATGGGCTAATAGTATATCCAGTAAGGAATCTAGAGTAACACCCAGAAATGTCACCCTTGCACTCACCTTCATGTGCTTTAATGGTGCATAACCACAACCACTCCCTTGATGTCTTCTGGTCCCAACAGAAAATAAGATAATTTTTAAATTATCAGCTCTTACTGATCCATTTTTGAAAACAGCAGATACATTTTAAAGTCATCTTAATATAGTATTTTTTAAAATCCAACTTATTTAGACAGCCATGATGCCATTCCCATCTATTATTTCCAGAGAAATCACTTGAACGTTACGAAATGTCCAATGCCTGCATGTTGATTCATAGTTTACTTTAGGTTTAAGCCTATAGATGTCCTAAACAGTTGAGACTTCCTTCTTTTCTGAGGTTGTGGAGACTCAGGCCAACAGAGCTGGCTGTAACTAAGAATTCACTTTCAGTAAGATGTTTTGAAAGACAATTTGTAGCCCTACACCTGCATCAAAACCAGGGTAGTTACAGCTCCTGCATCTTTGCAGACACTACTCAGTGCCACCAGGTTTAAATACCTGCTTGTAATGTTTCTGGTCCGGTTTATTCAGTGGCTACAAGTAGTCATTTGGAAGCTATGTACTCAGCTCAATATTATGTTTAATTTGCAGAAATCAACTTGAAGGAAGGATTAGAATTAAAATAACACAAGAACTTCGTAAACAAGAATTAAAAAACATTCCATGCACAGGAACAGGAACAGACTTCTCATCAGGATACTTCCTTGACCTGATCAGGAGCTAAAAATTTCATGTACACTGATTTATGCTCTGGGTCTTCCAAATGTGCCTCAGCTTCCTTTTAAAGCAGTTAGATGCTGCTAAAACCCCATTCTCCAACCAGCTGCACACATTCCAACTTGGAGTGGACCCTGGAACGGATGCAGCAGGATAAGCAGATTCCACAAGAGGAACAGAGACAACTATCAGATTAGGTTGGCAAATAGTTCATTTCTTCAGTTCAGGATAATGCTATGTGAATACAAGACTTTTATTTGCTTTTTGGCTGAAACAGATGAACAACACTATTTAGGTATCAATTATCTCGGACAAATGAGCAAATAAACAAAAAGTCTACTAAAATTTCATTCAAACCCAAAGCAAACATTGTGGTTTGAGGTGGAGTTTACCTCTTCTTATGTTACTGCAATCTTTAAGTCAGAATAATTTTTCCAAATATAGAAGTATTTCATGCTCAAATATGTATACATGAAGTGTTTGGATTGTTGTATAGTTGCAACTATTTTAAAATAAATTATTTGCCAAATTCAGCATGCCTTTCTCAACACTGCAAGTAAATAAGTTTGCCAAAATCCCCTAAAAAAGTAGATTCATTAGCTTTTACCACAAAGATGAAGCAAGAGGCTAGAATTCATCTGGAGCTAATCCACACTACTCAAAAACAAGTCAGTCAAGAATTTCAGAGGAAATTTATACTTAAAATACTCCATTTTCCTGCAAGGTCACACATACTTGGGGAAGTGACTTCATATCACAGAAACCTAACAGACTGTGTGTAAAGACAAACACTGACATTTTGGACACTGTTTTGAAAATTCTCACTTTGCATGCTAATAACCCTAAATTATGCTAATAGTTTCTTCAAAACTACTTATAGTTGCTTAATACCTTCTGCAGAAATCTGTAAGTACTTAAAAGGGACTTTTGGTGATCTCTGGATGCTCTTTTTTTTTAACCTGAAAATCGGGAGCTTTCAGCACAGATTCGTTGAAATAGCTTAAACAAACAAGTTCTGCCCAAAATGTACTTCAAGGCCCCAGCAGCTGTCCCACTGGGTCTCTGCTCCCTTTCTGATGAACATTCACAAGTCAGACTTGTTTCCAATAGACAGTAAACACACCAAGGAAACCGGCAGCTTTCAGGTTTTGCTTCTGCTACACAACAAAACAACCACAACAAAAGTCCTTCTGACATACTCAGCAGCAATCTCCACAGCGCCCTTTGCTACTAAGCCAGACTTTATTGTTCTGAGGAATTTGAATAGAGGGTGGTCTCAGCTGCCAGCAGCAGTAATCACCTCGTAAACTGGGAGTTTGCTGATTACAGCTGGAGATCGGATGGCTTTCAGTAACAGTCGTTTCTTACAAAATTGCTGTTACCATGAGAACTCCCTCAGCATTCAAGCAACAAAGCAACATAAAGCAGTAGGAAATGAGCATTAAATAAGAGGGAAGTAAAACAGCACTGAGCATTGCCTGTCAGTGCTGCCGTGCACCTTATTTTTCTGAGAGCAATCCAAATCAGCAGCTAAAAGAAAACTTATGAGAGAAGGAGCTTTGAAAGTTCAAAAATAGGTTTAACATTCACAACAGTCACAATATACCTAATGATACTGGGGATACAGTGAGTCTGAAAATGGGTAAGTTGGAAAAGGGTTCTGGATTCAGGAGAAATACCTTGGTTAGGTCTCAGCAACCAGCAACCACATCTCTGGGGCTACCAGCCTCAGCTCCATCTGCGTCTCTTGGCAGCACCCAGCCCAGCAGATCTGTCGTTGCACAACCAGCTACTCGTGCCTGGGCAGATGAGCAGGCAGCACTGCAGCAGGACCAGGTTCAACAGGATAAGATCTGGAGAGAGTCTGTGGAGGCTGAACAGCGAGGAAGAAAAAACTGGTAAGTCACTTGCTCCAGTTCATGCCTCTTCTACTCATCTTGACATTGGTACTAATGCTCCCTGACAGCCTTGGGGCTTGACCTCAAGCCTATACTATGAAAGGAAATTTTCTTCTGCAGGGACTTTGGATCAGACTCTATTATCTCTGTTTTCCTTCTCTGGACAAAATCTATGCTAGTATCTCCTGGCATGCTGGACTTAAGCTGAAAGGGATGCAAAGAATTGCATGCTAAGTATATTTTAGCTTTATAGAAATTTCCAGAATGAAGATTTAAATGTGCCAACCTTTGTAATTTATTGCAGCCACACAGATGCCATCACCTCTTCTCATATTCTTGGAAATGGCTGAAATGGGAGTTGAACAGAGTGTTCTGCCAAAATACAACTTTGTATTCCCAACCTGTAAATCTACTGACCATGCCCCATTGTTACAGTGTTTGAGAAGACTGAACTGCACACATACAACCTAAGCTTTAACTGTGTATAGTGACCTTAAGGAACCCAAAATTAAGATCCTTTCAGTCTCTGCCACATATCTTGAGTGTTTATACTCGGCCTTCGGTACACAGCATGAACATGCCGATTAAAAGAATATCCTTGGTAAAAACTAAATCAGTTCCAGCTCCCACTGTGCACTAGACAAGTTAAAGGAAAGAGAAGAAAAAGAATATCACTCAGGATTTTTTAGAATGGGAAAAGAAACCATCTGAAAACCCTCATCCTCCTCATATTTCTGGAGGAGATGCAAATCACAGCTCTGATTTCCCCAGAGATGCATTTTCAATCTTGTCTGGCTTCTTTTACCTGAGGGAAAGGCTGAGCCAGGACTCTTGCAAGCCAGGCCCATGGTGGCAATGTTACTCTCCCCCAGCTGTGCATTCAGACTCTTGCCAAATGGGCCCAGTGTTTTCCATACCTGTTCCCTAGCTAAGGCAGCAGAAGGGACTCTGGGGTTCACAGTCAGGGATAGTGGTGCAAACTCACTTTCACGGGTAAGTAAGATAGTGCATCATACAGCTGATGCATGTTCTGCTCTGCAATCTTAGCTACAAAGACAGAAACTCTTGTAAAAGAGTAGGACAGGCATGTGAAGGACAGATGTCTAAAGCTGGATTCAGCAGACTACAAATGCTACAGCCTGCAGAGAACTGTCCTTCGGCTCTACATCCCCCCACCAAAAATGATGCTGGGGAAAGCCCGCTATGTGTTGGTGGTCTGACTTAAAGTGGATATAGGGAAATGTCTGAGACCCAAGCATTTCTCAGTAATTAACACCATCCAATAACACCCAAATCTGTATGTTTGAAGTGGCTGGCATAGTGAGATAAAAAATGTTAGGACCTCTGTGCTGTGTTGGTATACCAAAAGGTATAGTGATAAACACAATCATAAATTAGCTTTTACATGCACTTAGGGTATATATGCATTGGATGGGGCAGTGCAGCACAGAAATTCAATGCTCCTAGCTCCATGGGGTACGTGGCTCTGCTGTACAGATGAGCTCAACTTAGAAGGATGTACATTCAGCACATGATCGATGACCTTAGAAGCAGCACTGTATAGACACAGGTAACCAGCTCAGAGAGTCAACCCTGGCGTCCCTTGAGCCCTGCTGCAAATACAGCTGTAAGCAACTGCTTCCTCTCTTAACCCCATTGCACTTTTACAATGGCAGGTGAAATTTGTTTTCTCAATTTCAGGCCAGGGAAAGCAAAGGACAGAAAATGAAAGGACTTGTCCTGTAGTCCCACACCAGGTATAGAACTGAGCTGAAGATCAAAACTCAGGTCTTCTGGCTCAGTCTGCTCCCAGCACAGCTGCCTATCTGCACAAAATACTCCAGTGGGCATTTGCCTGCAGCAAATACAGCTCTGGGTATTCCCACCAGGGACTTTGGCCAGCAGAGAACTGGTCACTTAAAAAATAAGAATCTGTGTTTTTCTCAAGGCATGGGTCAAAAGTTTGCTAGAGTGACTCAGGATTTTGCTTATTCATCTGCATTTGCACAAGGAATACACTGTGGACATGATATCCTCATCTTCCTTTAACAAAAAAAGCCCCATTCCTCACATAGTATGAGCTCTCTATCAGAATAAAAAAAACCACCCTGGATTTCACCATAGAAGAGACAGGTTTCTGTGCAAATAGTTTGCAGGTGTAAGAGCTGGGTTTTAAGTATCAAACTGAGCAGTTAAATAGGCATTCAAGTATGACCAACATTAATTCTAGCTAAAGACAGACAATTTTACACTGCCATTTTTCACTTCTATTCCAAGGTACCACAACTGGAGTTTCCTAAAGGACTATGACCAAATGGTAAGCTTTGAACAAACATCAGCTGTAATCCAGGCTCTTTTCAGTTTTCATCCATTTGAGCTAGGCTAGTATTTAAAATTGAAGCATACTTAGGCATAACTGGCAAATGCTATAAGACTAAAATCTTTAGGAAAAATAAAAGAGAACTGAAGTGCCTTTCATCTGCTACCTATGTAACAAACAAATACAGCACAGGCATGTGTTCAACCTGTTCCAGTATTAGCAACTCCACAGAAAGACAAGTGAAGAAGAACCAACCTCCTTGAAGAAAATTTGTAAGATCGTGTTGTCATGCTGAAATTCAAGACACTCAACTAAAAATGAAACAAAATACCTCCCACTTCATGACCATTCTAGAGCAGGCTAACTTCTGTCCCAGCTGACATTTTATGCAACACATTTGAAAATTATTCATTTCCCTGTGTTATCCTATTCCCACATAAGACAGGAGAAAACAACTGGTTTTATTTCTCCAGCACTTTTATGTACATTCAGTATGACAATTTTAAGTAGGCTCAAATTCTAACTTCGAAGGCAAAAAATATTACAAATAATCTCAGTAACTTGAGTCTTTGTAACAAGCAATAGATGTAATTCTGAAAACTTATTAATGGTCCTTGTTTTATCCAGGGTAAGAAAAGGGAGCAGAAGCCACTGCCAAACTATATGCCTGTATTCTCAAGCAAAGTTCCCAACTTGACCAACCAGATTATTGGCAGTCGAATGAATACTGAACTTGGTAGGGATTTGGTAAACATGGATTACTTCTTCAGCACTGGAGCACGAAAGAGGAAACTTGATGGTGAGCTCCAGCCTTCCTAGTGCTTTGGTAAAAATATAACAGTAATAATGCAAGTTGAATGGTTGTAGCCAACAGACTCCACAGCAGGTAAAAAATTCTGTAATCTTTTTCTCAGTGAGACCGATACTACTCTTTAGCATGGATTTTCTTTCAAGAGCAAAGATGGATGTTGTCCAACAATGCCACAGGAGACAATCCTCTTTGTATCTTGGGTGATGGGGCCATATAGAGACCTCACCCATCTTCTCATGCAGTCTACAGTAAGGTTGCCACTAACATCAGAAAAATCAAGATCACACCCAAAAGGCCATTTCTCCCTAAATTTTTATCTCCTGAAATTAAACAATGAATGAAGATCTGCTCAGATGAGTCCCAACATAAACAACATATTTTCAGTTCTGAAACTCAGCACAATAAAATCAGCAGCTTGTTGCATTTCATGTAATCAGCCAAGGATTCATCAGCTCTGTCACCTGCATGTATAAGCTTGCTCTAAATAATAAAATTTAAGGCACGTGAGATGTGTTCTGTGCTTTTTGCCCCCCACCCCGCTGAGGGAAGAAGACCAAATATTTTTCACACCAGTTTTCATTTTTGTTTCTCTAGATATGCTGCTCTCAAATTCCCTTCTCTTAACTCTTTTTCTGGTTTAGCTGATGGGAACTAATTGACAAGGAAGCAGGCTTTCACATTTTGCTCTGAAGGAGTGTTGGCTCAGCAACCTGTCTGACACTCTTGAATTTAACAGGTACGCAGTTCCTAAAACCTGTGGTTGCCCAGGGAGACCATCATCAAGCTAAACCAACTCAATACCTGAAGCCTGTCCATCAGTGCATCTCCCTTACATAGGTGTAAACTTTGTTAATGACTTTGAACTGTATGCAGCATCTGTAGGATCATGCTCAGTCCTATGTAGAGCTCAACACAGAATCCATTAGCAGTGCTTTGATACAACAGGCGGCAATCTCTCACCAGACTGAGGTGAAGATGTACACATACTTATGTTTTGTAGTTAAGTCTATTTGTTTTTATGATTAGACCTCAGAAGGCAGGTCAACAGTCCAGAAGCACAAGAGGTGGTACGAACAGTGTGATCACTGGTAACATCCAAATAGTCTCTGTGGAAAAAAAAAGAAAGAAGATACTGTAGAAAGAAGAGCCAAATCCCCCTCACTGATGTCAGAGCACCAAGCAGTTCTCCTCCTGGCTTCCTCAATATAGCAAGAACTGGAGGATTAAGGCTTTCAAGATGACAGCTAAGCTACCTAAAAAAGGGAGACCATATTATGCAATCAGCCCAAGTGGACTGATTCCACTCAGTGCAGACGTGAATTGTGATAGACAACTGTGTTCAGAGACACCAAATAGGAACCTACTCTTTTTTTAAAAGACATCTTCTTGTTCAGCTAAAATGCTTTCTGCTCCCTCCTGTGAGCTGAAAACTGCACCAGGAACTTGTTTGTCTTCAAACATCTGAAAGAGGGATTGTCCCTGCATTGTCTTCCAAAACTATACAGCCTATGCAGAGGTTACATACTTATATGGTGAACGCATAACACTTGAGAATCATTACACTTGCATGCCTTGCTCTGAGACGTACTGAGCAGCTTCAAGTCTTGCTATGGGTCACAAACTCTGTACTGAGTGGCAGATGTCCAGTATCTGTTAGGCTCAAGCTCCTATACATGTAAGAAATTTCATTTATAAAGCATGGGGATTTTATTTTTCAGCATGAAAGCATACAGAGCTCCATGCTTCCTAACCTCCAGATGGCACTCACTCCACGTCAGGTAACCCACTGAAAAGGACACTAAATTACAGCAAGGTAGTGTTACACAATTCCTTTTTAATTTCAAGGGACATTAAATAGTTTCAGATTCTTGACTTTGTTTTCTGTGTGTGACTCCAGAGAATCCTTCTCCCAGAGAGTTCCTGCAAACTGGAGGGTATGGGAAAGAGGATGGTATAAGCAGTGCATGATTTAATGCCTCCACTTCACACTGGCTGTTTACGCTGAAGCACTTTTCCCAGTTTGGGATAAGAACTTCCACGTCTTACCCTAAAAATATGTGCGCGTTTGCCACTAAGCAGTCTAGAGAAGCTGTGATGGTAACTGGAGTACAGGAAGATACGTCTTACAAGAAAAAATTAAAAAGATTGGTTTTAGTCTGAAGAAGAAACAGCAGTCTGGGAATCAGATAGCAGTCTTTAGATATGTTTATAGCTCTGGAATGAGAAAAGGGATGATTTGCACTTCACATGAGTGGCAGACAATAGTAAATATCACAGGCTTAAATTACAGCAAGGCAGAATCTTGCTCACTTTTTGGGAAGCTAGTGGTGAGGCTAATACAATGCTGGAATAGATTTCCCAAGGAATCTCCACCTGTGAAGGTTAAATACACACATCCATCAAGAGTAACATATTTAATACAATTTGTCTTTTAGTGTTTAAATTGAATGACCATCTGAAGAGCTTTTCACCAATTCTCTGACTACACCAGATTTGTTGGGATCACACAACACTTTGCAAACAGGGTTTTTCAAACACGTTCAAAAAGAAAGAAAAAAAATTCTATTTCAGTTACAACAGATTTAAATAGATCACACCTCAAAAATACATATTAATCACCTAAATTTGTTGATAGAAAATATATTTCTAATTCTTCTAACTACTCATAGCAAATGCTTTTCACAAAGTCTAGATGTGCCTCTTTCTTTTAATCGCACACATCTAAGAGGCTTGACTAGTGCCCTCCTGACAGCCACATAAGAACACTTCTCAAGGAGCACATTCATGTCCTTAGGTCATGTGTATTCATGGCAATAACTAATTTTCTTTCAACAATTCAGGAAGCCTTTACTAATGAAGTGTAGTTCTGATTGTGTCCTTAATCAGGTAAAGTGCCCGTTCAGATGCCAGGAAGTTCCCACAGTGGGTACTTGTAGTGATTACATGCATATAGCACAGCAAGACCTTTATACACCCCTGCATGCCTTCTCAGCTGTACTTCTCTGCACAGGTCACTTCAGTCCAATAGATCACAACAGGAAGGTCTGTAGGTATACCTAAAGTGAAGCCAAAATACACAAGGATTTTTGGCTTAATCATCGAAGTGTGCAACCTTGGAAAATGCAGCTCTGTGCCTTGCTGGAAGTTCACAGCAACCTACAACTGTATTACCTCTTTTAATGTGGAATTAAGTTAATACCTTGACTTTCTGATTAAGTTAATTGAAATTATTCTAAAATACTGCTGGGCAACAACTGGACAGGAGTAGCTCTGTTCATCCCTAAAAATCCAGTTCATTTCTATTTCCTGTTGAAATCAATAGTAACTCTTAAGCACTTGACAGATTAATGACTATCTCTAAGGGGAAAGTGTTTAGAAAACAGAGGCTTCCCATGTGGGATAGATCTGATAATCCATGTGACATGGCAACATTGCGTTGAACCAGCCACCTTATTTTGTTCAATTATTAAACTTCCCTTGGAAATACTATTTATTCTATGCTGCTACACTGTCCTGGGTTCAGCTACAGCAGTCATTTTCTCTCCTTCCTAGTAGCTGGTGCAGTGCTGTGTTTTTGACTTTCAGCCTGGGAACAATGCTGATAACACCGATGGTTGTAGTTGTTGCTCAGTAATGTTTACTCTGACCAAGGACGCAAGGATTGCTGCTCAGGTCGGGTTCGGTATTGGTTGGCAGGTGGTGAGCAATTGTACTTGCTCCCCTTGTTATTCCCCTTATCATTGTTACTGGTAGCGGTAGTGGTTTGTATTATACCTTAGTTACTGGAGTGCTGTTATCTCAACCCATGGGATTTACATTCTTCCGATTCTCCTCCCCATCCCTCTGGGAGCGGGGGAAGGAAGAAGCTGGGGGAGTGAGTGAGCTGCTGCATGGTTCCGAGTTACCAGCTGGGCTTAACCTATGACATGCACTTAGCCCTGCTCTAGTACCCAGTGTTTGATCTCTCTACCACACATAGCAACCTCCAGAAAAGACCTTCTGGGAATATCCCAGGTCCTAATCAAAACTGCTTTAGCATCTGTGAGTAGAAGATATTCTCTAGACGCCATTTTCATCTCAAGTTTAACAATCATTTTTCTTTTAGCATAATTAACCTGTTTACATGAGCAAAATCTCTTAAAAAGACTGGATAATAGCACTGAAATCTGTAAACAATAAGTGGAAATTCCATTTATTAAAGAGATTGTGTAGATATTAAAGTGTTCTGAGCTTCCTGTGAAGACTTCTTATGATGTATCACTTGTGCTTCAGTTGTATAAGCTTTCTTCCCTTTTGCTGCCAGATCTCAAACAAGAGATTATGTATGTTTAGGCAATTAATTTTATGCATTTCTTTTAGTTAAAAAGCACAAGTGGGTAGCTATATTAATTTAATTATTTGGTTAATTACACTCCTTTCTCTAGTAGAATTCTGAGGATTGTTAATATTAATTAAAACTTGGAGCATAAATGTTTCTAGTGGCTCCAAATTTTTGGTGTTCTCATTTTGAGATAAACAAGTGTAAAATATATGTCTTTACAAAACATATGTAAGTTCATATAAATCTGTATTTCTCATACTTTTAGAATAGTCTTTGTATCTGCCCAGCTGGCATCTTAACTATAAAGTTTTGTCTCATAAGATCAGTGACGACTGTAAATCCAACCGTGTTTCTTAGAAATTGTAAAACTGTTTGTTGATGTTTAAATTACTCTAAACAAAAACAGCTACATGGGTTTTCCTACAACAGTGGTCTCCTCATGCTGTGGAAATTACTACATAAACAGTAAGATTCCCAAAATAGGGATGGGAGAGGAAAATTATGTATGAACATTATAAGGGCAATACTGCCAGTCCAGACATCGTATGTTTGCATGCATTATTTATGTACATACACATTCACAATGTTTGCTTTCTATAAAGAACACTTTATAGAACAAAATTTCTGATTTGAAGTTCATCTTAGAGCAGACAACAGTTTTCTGAAGTGGGCTATTCTTTCTGGTTT